AATTTGAATGGGCAAGGTTGAGCGTGGGCAGGAGGTCATTACTCCAAAATTTCAGACTCTTAGACTCCGTGGCCCTCGAGGTATTAGTTTACCCGTAAAAAACTTTCATGGGGCCGTACGCGTTACCCGCGGGTACAAGAATGCTGAATTTGAATGGGCAAGGTTGAGCGTGGGCAGGAGGTCATTACCCTAAAATTTCAGCCTCCTAGGCTCTTTGGTTCCTGAGATATTGATTTACCCGTAAAAAACTTCCACGGGACCGTACGAGTTACCCGTGGGTACGGGAAGGCTGGATTTAAATTTGCCGCGTCACCCGTTGGCGGGGAACACTATACCAAAATTCCAGCCGCCTAGCTTATGTGGTTCCCAAGTTGAAAGTGCGGGACAAAATGTGGGACACACACACACACACACACACACACACACAAACACACAGACAACCGCGTGACAATACGCGTTTTGTAACGCTGTTACACAGCACAAAACGCATAAAGAAACGAAAGTGGCGATTTACCACTGTGAGTGGGTCACCAGGCGTAAAATGGGCGTTTTCGCACCCTTAGTTCCTATCTGCGGATGCGTAAAAGATGTTTTGGCGAGGGAATGAAGCAATCTGGAAAGTTGAAATTTTACAATTATATTTCCTCTCCATGTTCTACTCCAGAGTTCTCAAGTCGACTTCCAAACAAGTCAAAGTTCAGACTGACACATTGTTGGCATTACTTCACCTCAAAAACCACACTAAGAAAAAAGCTATCACTTTGTAAGGATATTTGTCATGTATGTGTGGGTTCGTAAAAATGAAATCAGCTTTCACATCTCGCCTACGAAAAATGAAATTTTTTATAGAGCTGAGAATTTTGTAATTCCGCATCCAGAGCATTGGTAGAGTCTTGAAATATATGACATCGTTGAAGCTGTTATCAGCTTTTTATGCGTTTTTGTATGTATGCGAATGCAGAAAAAAAACGCATATTGTAACAACCCATGGTGTGCGTGTGTGTATATGTGTGTGTGCATGTGC